AGGCTCCGGAGTCAGCGCATCGCTCCCCAATGGCCCTAGCCCCATCTCTGCCTCTGACGCAGAGCCCTCATCCGGGCCTTCCCCAGCCTCCAGGACTGGCCCCTGTTCTTCCTCAGCCTCATCATTGTCTGACTCCGCTGCCAGTTCTGCAGGCTGCTGGCGGACCACAACACCATAGTCTTCCCCATCCTGCTCCTTTAAACATTTTGTCTTATTATTCCGCCGTTCTGTTTTCCAAAATCTTGCAAATCCAAAAATTATGACGTATTTCTTGGATTAGAAAAGATCCCCCACATGATGCACATGTGTAGTGTGTCTGCATCTGGAATTCTGTGCTATTCTTTTGCTATCTGCAAAGTGGAGTCTAGATGGTGGGAATAACCAAGCAAATCAAACTCATTTCCCCCCCTTTTTTTTTAAAAAAAGGGCATTTCCCACGCAATACAGATTAATAGGAACAATATGTTGGCCTTTGACCGTAATTCAATTTTTGAAACAGGCTTCGGAATTACAGAGACAAAAGTTAATAAAGTGAGGAATTGATGCAGGAATTCTACAGGGAGGCTTTTTGATGGAATTACCCTGTCTTAGTGCCGGTGGGTGAATATATATCTTAATTATAACTCAATGTTTCTTAGACCAGCCAAGCAAAAGGCCCCCATTCATTCATTCCAGTTACAATTTAATACCTCGGTGTTTTTGGCCTGGCATTATATTAATAGCTAAATTAATTTTAATACAGAGCACAACAATATTGTTTTTATTACCTGCTTCTGATTAATAACCCAACATAAGAAGAGACTTTTAAAAAATTGGCTAGCGTCCACCAGGGGGCAGTATTAGCTAACTGGCTGAACTTCGCTATAAAACACAGTTTCTGGTGTTTAAAAAACCCCCCAAAGTTGCAAAATCAGAAAAAGCCCAATTTTCTCATACAGAAAGTGGAATTGCAGACCTCAACCGTGCAGAATGTGCTTGCAAGCGATAGGAAACGGGGAACATCTTGAATATAACAAAAGCGGAACCAGCCAGCTTCAAGCTGCTTGATGTTTGGGTGTTTGGAAGGGACTGGATGGCTAAAACATGACCAAGAATTGTTGCAGGAACTGGGTATGTTTTAGTTTAATGAAAAGAAGGACTAGGGGAGACAGGATAGCAGTCTTCCAATATCTCAGGGGCTGCCCCAAAGAAGAGGCAGTCAAGCTATTCTCCAAAGCACCTGAAGGCAGGACAAGAAGCAATGGGTGGAAACTAATCAAGGAGAGAAAACAACCTAGAACTAAGGAGGAATTTCCTGACCCGGAAGACAATTAATCGTGGAACAGCTTGCCACCAGAAGTTGTGGGTGCTCCATCACTGGAAGCTTTTAAGAAGAGATTGGACAACCATTTCTCTGCAATGGTAACAAGGTTTCCTGCCTGAGTAGGGGGTTGGACTAGAAGACCTCTAAGGTCCCTTCCAACTCTATTATTCTATTAAGGTTTCTTTGCCAGATGTGAAATTTGAAATGCATGCAGTCCCATTCCTGGGAATTCATCTTTTTTTTTCCAGTGGCTAAATCTTTCCTGCTAAGTTAGTTAAAGCTTTAAGAGGTGCTTCTCCTGTTTGCTCAGCTTCAAATTTAACCTATGACCTCCATGGAGAAACCACTTGACTGTATCTCTTCCTCCTTTAAGGTCATTTACAGGTAAAGCACAAAGATGGATTTTGATCCAGAGACTGGAAGATTTGAGTGACTTAACAATGCCCATGAGTACAGGTGGCCCCCAACTCATTTAGTGACCGTTTGAATTTGCAACGGCTCTGAAGAAAGCGACTTACAACCATTTCCCACACTTATGACCGTTGCAGCATCCCCCCAGTCACGTGATCAAAATTTCCATCGCTAAGCGAGACATTTAAGTGAGTTCAAGTGTCCCGTTTGACGACCGTTTCTCGCTACAGTTGTTAAGTGAATCACTGCGGTTGATAAGTGAGTCACAAGGTTGTTAAGCAAATCTGACTTCCCGATTGATTTTGCTGGTCAGAAGGTCGCAAAAGGGGGGGGGTCACGTGACCTCCCCCCCAGGACTCTACGACCGTTATAATACAAGTCAGTGGCCAAGCCTCTGAATTTTGATCACGGGGATGCTGCAATGGTCATAAGTGTGAAAAACGGACATAAGTCTCTTTTTCCTGCGCCGTTGTAACTTGGAACAGTCACTAAACGAACTGTTAAGTCGAGGACTGTGTATATTCAGATCATTGGAGAAAAAAAAAAACCCAGCTATTTTTTCAGCGTTCACACTATGAGCTTCATCCTCTTCCTTTAACGCTGCTTTGTTAAATCAGTCACTTCATTAAATCAATCCATTGGCCAGGGATGCCCCTGCCAAACTTTAAACCACGGTTTACCAACTGCAATCTATGCCAGCCTCCAGACAAATGAGATTGTCACCGTGAAGGATGAGCTGCATTGCAGTTGGGGTGATGATGTCCTTCATGGCAAGCAAATCCATGCAGTTAACCACAATTATTAATCCCAGCCAGGAATTTATTCACCGTCAACCAAGATGAGCAAGGGGGCAGTTTACAAAAGATAGTACAGATCTGTTTCCTGCATACAGTGTTCTGGAGGCCCCCGACCTCCCTGTATAGTAGCAGAAGAGGCCGTGTGTAAATCCAAATTGCGCGGTTCTTCTTGTAGTTCAGAGCTGGTGGGAGAAACCCCCCCCCAAAGAGTGGGCAAGGAGTTAACCAGGGTTAAAATGGGCGAATCGAGAAGAAAGCAGGCTAGAGAGGAGTTATTCAAGTTGCTCCATTCGGGACCCCTTCTGATCATTTAGTCTACAACTTTTCTCGATTTGGAACCTCTCAATAGGAACACAACCACCTCCAGTGGATTAATTGTAAAAAGGAAGGAAGGAAGGAAGGAAGGAAGGAAGGAAGGAAGGAAGGAAGGAAGGAGAGAGAGAGAAAGAAAATGAGAGAAAGAAAAAGTGTGTGAGAAAGAAAGAGAAGGAAAGAAAGGGAGAGAGAAAGAAAGAAGGAAAGAAATAAAGAAAGAAAAAGAGGGAGAGAGAAAGAATGAGAGACAGAAAGAAAGAATGTGTGAGAGAAATAGTGAGAAAGAGAGAGAGAAATAGTGAGAAAGAAATAGAGAAAGAATGAAAAATAAGTGTGAGAAAGCATGAGAAAGAAAGGAAGGAAGGAAGAAAGGAAAGAAAAAGGAAAGAAAGAAGGAAAGAAAGAAAGAAAGAGAAAAGAGAAGAGAGAGAGATGAGAGAGAGAGAGAAAGAGTGAGAGAGAAAGAGTGAAAAAGAGTGAGAGAGAGAAAAAAAGAGAAAGAAAGAAAGAAAGGAAGAAAGAAAGAAAGGAAGAAAGGAAGAAAGAAAGAAAGGAAAGAAAAAGAAAGAGAAAGAAAGAGAGAAAGAAAAAGAAAGTGTGAAGAGAGAAATAGTGATAAAGAAAGAGAGAAAGAAAGAGAAAGAATGAAAAATAAGTGTGAGAGAGAAAGCATGAGAAAGAAAGAAAGAAAGAAAGGAAGGAAAGAAAGAGAAAGAAAAGAAAGAAAGAAAGAAAGAGAGAAAGAAAGAAAGAAAGAAGAAAGAATGAAAAATAAGTGTGAGAGAGAAAGCATGAGAAAGAAAGAAAGAAAGAAAGAAAGGAAAGAAAGAAAGAAAGAAAAAAAAAAAGAAAGGAAAGAAAGAAAGAAAGAAAGAAAGAAAGAAAGAAAGAAAGAAAGAAAGAAAGAAAGAAAGAAAGAAAGAAAGAGAAAGTTAGTTATTTGAACTGGAGAACTGCCCAGCTGTTCCTTCGGTCACTTGGGGGGGGCAGCCCAGCTCAGGACCTTCCCCCCCCCTCCGCACATGTTCTAAGAGGCGCTTGGGGGAAAGAGCCCCGTCTTTGGTGGCGATGAAGGAGCCCAGGCCGGCTCTCCCCCCGCGGGCGCACCGTTGCAGACCGGGGCCGCCTTCCTGGCAAGGCAATCCCGACTGCGGGACAAGCCCCGGTTGTCGCATTGTTGGCCCCGCAGCTCCGACCGTGGCTTGCCAAGCTCGTTGCCGCGGCCTCCCGCCTCCCCACTGGCCGGAAGGAGGGAAGGGAGAGAAGAAAGGGAAAAAGGGAAGGAGGGGGAGAGGGAAGGGAGGTAGGAAGGAACGGGGGAAGAGAAGGAGGGAGGAGCAAGACAGGAAAAGGGAAAGGAGGGAGAGAGGGAGGAAGAAAAGAAAAAGGGGGAGGGAAGAGGGGGGAGGGAGGGAGGGAAAGGAGGAAGGGAAGGAGGAAGAGAAAAGAGGGAGGGAGGAAGAAAGGTGAAAAAAGAAAGGGAGGGAGGAAGTTTGGAGAGAAGAAAGGAGGAAGAAAGGAAAAAGGAAGGGAGGAAGAGAAGGAGGGAGGAGCAAGACAGGAAAAGGGAAAGGAGGGAGAGAGGGAGGAAGAAAAGAAAAAGGGGAGGGAAGAAGGGGGGAGGAAGAGAAAGAGGGAGGAAGGGAAATGGGGAAGGAAGGAAAGAAGAGAAGAAAGGAGGTAGGAAGAGGAAAAGAAGGGAGGGAGGGAGGAGGAAAGAAAGGTGAAAAAAGAAAGCGAGGGAGGAAGGTTGGAAAGAAGAAAGGAAGGGAGGAAGAGAAGAAGAGAGGAAAAGGAAGGAAGGAAGGAAACAGGAGGAGAAAGGGAAGGAAGGAAGGGAAGAAGGAAGGAAGGGAAGGCTGGAAGGTGCCAAAGCGACCCCCCCCCACAAACCCCCGACCCACCTCGAGCCCGGCTGGTGCAATGCGAATTTGTGGCGGGCCGCTTCGAAAAGGGGAACGGGGGGGGGGGAGAGGGAGGGAGGGAGGGAGGGATGGAGCTGGCTTTGCAAGCGAGATGGAGCCCCCCCCCCACCGAGGATTGAAAAAAAAAAAGAAAGGAAGGAAGGAAGAAAGAAAGAAAGAAAAAAAGCAGTCTCCGCCCTCCTCTATTACCATAACAACTCAGCCCCCCCTCCCCCTCCCTCTCCCCCTCCCCCTCCCTTGCAATGCCATTGAGCGAAGCGGAGCCGCAGCAGCCGGAGAATCGCCCTCCGCTCCGCTCTCACTTTCTCTCCTACACACACTCACACACTCACACACTCCCAGGCACACACACACACACACACACACACACACACACACGGACGGCCACCCAGCCGAGCCAGAGCTCCGCGCGCTTCCCAGGGAAAGTTGAGCGGCGCTGCGAAGGAGAGAAAGGAAAGCCACTTTTCTTTTCTTTTTTTTCCCTTTCCCTTGCTTTTCTCCTTCCTCCTCCTCAAGCCTCCGGGGACGGGAGAAGGGGGGGGGGTGACACGCCTCTCCTCCTCGCCCCCACCCACTCCGCTTCCCTTTGACACCCGAGGAAGCCGAGAGAGAGAGAGAGAGAGAGAGAGAGAAGGATGGCGTGAAAAGCAAGAGCGGGAAAGAAAGGCGAGAAGACGAGAGGAGAAAGGGAAGGAAGGTAGGAAGGAGACAAGACAGGAGGAGAAAAGGAAGGAAGGAGACAATACAGGAGGAGAAAAGGAAGGAAGGAAAGAAGGAAGGAAGGAGGATAGAGAGAGGGAGGAAAGGAGGAAGGAAGGAAGGAAGGAAGGAGGACAGAGAGAGGAAAGGAGGAAGGAAGGAAGGAAGGAAGGAAGGAAGACAGAGAGAGGGAGGAAAGGAGGAAGGAAGGAAGGAAGGAAGGAAGGAAGGAGGACAGAGAGAGGAAAGAAGGAAGGAAGGAAGGAAGGAAGGAAGGAAAGAAAGAAAGAAAGAAAGAAAAGGACCGGGAGACCCTCCAAATTCAGCCTTAGAGCAGCTCCGGAGCGCCGGCCAGGAAGAAGTCCCCGAAGAAGAGAAAGCAAAAGCCGCCGGCTGCCTCCTCCTCCTCCTCTTCCTCCTCCTCCTCCTCCTCCTTTCCCCGGCTGGCGCCCGCCTCGCCTCGCCCGCCGGCTCCCTCGGCTCCTCCGCCGCTGCCATGGCCCAGGAGAACGGCGAGGCGCGCGGCTCGTCCTGGAAGAAGCCCGCCGAGGACATCGGCCGCATCTTCGCCTTCAAGGAGACCCTGGGGACGTAAGTGCGAGGCGCTTCTCTCTCTGTCTCTCCATCCTTGGGGGACCAGAGAGACGCAGGAGCGGGGGATGCTGTACTTGGAAAAGGGGGGGGGCAGAGAAGCGGGGAGGGGTCCTGAGTTTGGGGTCCAACTTGGGGTGAACGATGGAGAGTTGGGTGGCCGGAGTAGAGGAAGGAGGGGGGTCCTTGTTCTGACTGGCCAGGTGGGTTTGGATGGATGGGTTGAAAATTCGCCTCCCCCCTCCCCGGGTAGGAGACCCCCCCCACCCTGAATTCTGGAGCCCTTTCCCACTCATCTAAGGTAGCCCTGGAGCGGGGAGATGTCCCACCCAATGTCCACCAAGTCCCACTTGGGTGAAGCCAACAGGGAGGAGGCATCTGGGAGGGTTCCTCACCACCATCAGTGGTGGACCGGACCGATCCACCTCTCTTCCTGGCTGCCTTAAAAACCTGCTTTCAAGGTAGCCTTGGACTCTACCTCCCCTACCCCCCACCCCCCCACCGCCAACCGGGGTTGTTTCGGTTGAGTTGTTGAGCTTTCACCCTCTCTCGCCAAACACAAGGTGGTGTGTCTTTGAGGTTCTTCTCTGCATCGGTTTGTGTAGCCAAATCTCTAGCAGTGTTTCTCAACCTTGGAAGCTTGAAGATGGGTGGACTTCAACTCCCAGAATCCCCCAGCCAGCGTTGCTGGCTGGGGGATTCTGGGAGTTGAAGTCCACCCATCTTCAAGCTACCAAGGTTGAGAAACACTGCCCTAAAGGTTGTTTCCCTCTCCCCTCTCTCCCAAAGATTTGGGGAGGTGGGAGAGTCTATCTAGATGTCTGTCCTTCCCCTCCTCCTCCCCACGCATCTGTTTTGGTCAACGGTCCAGGTGGGCAGGAGATGCGTTCTGTTGGGTTCGTTTGCGCCGACTGGATATCAGGATGATTTGTCGCCAGTCGCCAGCTGTCTTTTTGTGGCAGAGAAAGGCGGGTGACCTTGGCGACGAAGACCCCTTTTGGAAACGGGTCGCAAGAAAGTGGATTTTGATATCCAAGGGGGGTACCGGGGTGTTCCTCCAGCCAAATGTGAAATACAGCTAGTCCTTGACTTACGACGGTTCGCTGAGTGGCCGTTGGAACTCGCAACAGCCCTGTTCAAAAGGTGACCTGCGTCCGTTTTCACCGTCCCAGCATCCCCGGGAAAGGTGGGGGGGGAGGGAACGGGGACAGGAAATCGGCGTGATTTACATTCGGGCGCTTGACAACCTGACTCGCTTTTATGACGGTTGCAAACGGGGGGGTGGAAATCACATCATCGGAAACCGGCTTCGCCAAACAACTCGCGTTCCTGCTTTAACAACCGCGGCGCTTCCCTTGGCGCCGCGGTGGCGAGGAAAGTCGTAAAACGGGGCCGAAAACCTTTGTTCCCGAACAAATTTCTCGCTTCTTAGCAAGAGGAACGTAGGCGGGGTCGTAAGTCGAGGACTACCTGCATTGTAGCTGCTTTGTTGGACCCACGGCGTGGTGGGTGGGTGGGTGGGGGAAACGCAACGCCGGCTAATACAAACCAGGAATGTCAGCTGTCCGTATTTATAGAGCTGGGATTTCAAAGGGTAAATGCAGATTGTGGGGTAGCCGCTCTCCTGAATCTGACAGCAGGATCTATTCATAGCAAGAAGAGCCGAAAGGACAGCAGAGGATTGGATCCCTTTTATCCGCCGTGCTTAACTCTTCTTGCCAGGATATTTTCTCCCTCCCTCCCTTTTTTAAAAATTTTATTTATAGTGCTCGGATAAAAAGATTAGCAAAATGGAAGCTTTGCGTGCAGTTCCCTTGGCATCGTGGCCACCTTGGCGTGGTTTCACCGGGCATAAGACGCCATTAAAATCACGAATCCAGCAGTGAAAAAAAAAATATATTCTTCAGGCCGGGCATCGGGGAAAGTCAACTTGCAAACTCCTAGTATACCACCTAAGTATATAGTAATAGTAATAGTAATACTAATGGCGAGGGGGATTAACATAGATTAACAGAGTTTAACAGAGATGGAAGGGGTTATCTTGTAGGTCATCTAGTCCAACCCCCCGCCCAAACAGGGACCCTACACCAGTGATGGCTAACCTTTTTGCCGTCACGGGCCAAGAGCGGGGAAAGTGCGGGGGGGGGGGTGTCGTGCGCCCACGTGCCCACACTCATAATTCAATGCTTCCCTGCTCCCCACACACGACCCCCCTGCACTCCCCCCGCTTTTGGCACGCGATGGCAAAAAGTTAGGTCCATTTTTCACCCTCCCCAGGCTCCAGAGACTTTCTTGGAGCCCGGGGAGGGTGAAAACAGCCTTCCCCACCCCTCTGGAGGCCGGAAACAGCCCGTTTCCCGACTTCCGGTAGGCCTGGAAGGCCCGAAAATCAGCTGGGCCAGCACACACATGCCTGCTGGAGCTGAGCTAGGGTAACGCTTGCGTGCCCGCAGATATGGCTCCGCGTGCCACAGGTTCGCCATCCCGGCCTTACCCCATCCCCAAGAAACGGCAGACGGATCTCCCCTTGAAAGCCTCCAGTGATGACGCTCCCACAACTTCTGAAGGCAACTTCTGTTCCATTGGGATCATGGAGTCCTGGTGGACGACCACTTAAAGACGAGCCAGCCTTGTGCCAAAAAACACAATCCTAATCCCTTAGGTGCTTTTTCAGGAGGCAACTGGACCTAGGTTGGCAGAAGCTGGGACAAGTCACGGGAGCTCACCCCCGTGACGCGGCACTCGGGATTCGAACCGCCGAACTGCCGACCTTTCGATCGACAAGCTCAGCGTCTTAGCCACTGAGCCACCGCATCCCTGGGCTTTGCGGTACCTTGTCCCAAAGAAAACCAGGTCGATCTAGAACGCGACCAAGTGGGGTTTTTTTTTGAGATTAATTGTCATACTTTCCCATTGTACTTTATGCTTTGTGGCCAAAATGCAGGACGTGGCAATTTTTTTTAAAAAAAATTGATTTATATGCCGCCCTTCTCCGGAGACTCAGGGCGGCTTACAATGCGCTAAGCAATAGCCTTCATACTTTTTGTATATTTATACAAAGTCAGTTTATTGTCCCCACAAACTGGGTCCTCAATTTACCTACCTTAGAAAGGATGGAAGGCTGAGTCGACCTTGAGCCTGGCGAGATTCGAACTCGCAGTAATTGCAGGCAGCTGGTGTTAATCACAATGCTATTAGCCAGCTGCGCCACCAGGCTCCCAGGACAATGTTCTTTGCGGTGTGTTTTGATACAACGGTGAGCCTTTTGGGTTTATAGCAAGGACGGAAGGAGGCAAGTTTGGCTGATACAGAAGGAGGATTCCCCACTTAAGGACACGTCTATTTTAAACCATGCTAAGTCATCCCACCTGGTTCATCTCATAATCCGGATTAAGCCAGAGAAGACCCAAAGAGCATTTAGATCAGGAATCACCTAGGAAACTCTGAGATCATAGATTTCCTGGCTAGTCCAAAGAAGGCGTGGCTTTGACAATGCTCCCCAAATGTTCCGTCAGTCATAGGGGGGCTTTATGGTTAACATCTTATCTCTTTCTTCCCTTCCAAAATCCGGCTGAGATTTCTGAAAAGAATTCCATAAAATTACATATGGGTATGTCAATTCAGCCTCATTATTCCCTGCAGATTACTTTTTTAAATTATTGATTTGTAGAGAGCAGCTTATTTCATGCTTCGAATTGCCAGCTGAAGAGCGCCGCGCTTTAATTCAGGATCTTCCTTTATTAACAGAGTAACAGAGTGGGAAGGGCCCTTGGAGGTCTTCTAGTCCAGCCCCCCCAATGGTTGTCCAGTCTCTTCTTAAAAGCCTCCAACGATGGAGCACTCACAACTTCTGGTGGCAAGCTGTTCCACTGGTTAATTGGCCTCACTGTCAGGAACTTTCTCCCGAGTTCTAGGTTGGTTCTAGATTACTTTGACGAATTATTTTCGGACTGGGCCAGATCGTCGTTTTTTCATTCATGGTGCCTGCCCTTAGAAAACGTTTGAGATTCAATCAGGTACAGGTAATCCTCGACTTACGACCGCAATTGAGCCCAACATCTCCGTTGCTAAGCGAGACATCGGTGAAGTGAGTTTTTGCTTCGTTTCACCACCTTTCTTGCCACGGAGGTTAAGCGAATCGCTGCCGTCGTTAAATCAGTCCAACGGTTGTTAAGTGAGTCCCCTCTTCCACTTTGCTCGTCAGACGGTCGCCAAAGAGGATCACGTGACCCCGTCCCCCGGGACACGGCAACCGCCGTAAACACAAGTCAGTTGCCAAGCGCCTGAATTTTGATCACGCTTTGGGATGCTACAATGGTCACGTGTGTGAAAACCGATCGTAAGTCGCCTTTTTCGGTGCCGTCGTAACTTGGAACCGTCACTAAACGAACCGGTGTAAGTCGAGGACTACCTGTATACTGGAACAAATCAAACCTCCCGTTTATTTTTTTCATCCCTAGAAGCTTCTTGGAGCATCAACGATGTTTCAATCCATTGAAGATTAGAGATGTTGATTCTTTGGGTGGGGTGTAATATGTAATTTATAATATGTATATGTAATATGTAAAGAACCTCGGCTCAATAAAATATCAGATGGTGACTCGAAGCTGGTGCTTTCAGCCGATCGTAGCTCTGGAATCAGTAGTTCTCCTTTGAGTAACGCATGCTACACCTCCCAATTGCTTAATGGACTGGAGTTGCTGTCAATCAAGCCATTGGGTGGGGGAGGGGAGCCATGGCGGAAGGGAACAAGGAGGGGGATGCGTTTTCCCATGTATGCAGGCAACGCTGCTCCAAGATTAGGTCTAATTAACGGGTAGTAGGAAACCCCAGCGACACCTACTTACAAACTAGGGTGCATCCATTTGTAAGTGTAAATCCCTCTTATTTACTCAAGAGTAAGCGTTTTTGAAAATAGTCCGAAATTCCGGTGACGAGAAAATTTTGAATGCAGAATTCCGGGGATATTTGATATCTAAATCTACCTCTACCTCTACCTA